CACACTTAATGACCAAGTTCTGTTCCTACGACTACGTCATTAAGCGTTTTGATCAATAAGTGAGAAGCTTAAATGCAGATGTCTTATGGTATGTCGTGGCGTCATAGGCATGTGCTTTTCCATAGATAACATCACACTAGAATAATGTAATTCTATCCATACAAAAAGCCATCTATTAGAAAGGTGCAGAAAACACAGAACACACCGCAACACAATGTCATTTTTATTTATCCTGAATACTGCTACTGACACATAATAAAGTGCAAATTTAAAAATGAAATAGTCTTGCATGATTGCCAATGCTTTGTGTGCTGAATATTAACTGACTGCAGGAGTATGGCAAGGACTGAGAAAGGGGATTCCCGAGACTCACACTTACTAAGAAAGGGAATTCCCCACATGAGAGAACTGGTTCTAAGTCCAAGTGGTTGTTGAACAGAAAGATTAAGTGAGGACTGATTGTCTATTTCTGCCTCAGAGTTATTTATTTATTTTTTTGGCCTTCCCTGGATAGAACTTTTCTTCAGAACTGAAAATGTCATTAGCAAATAACAGAAAAATAACACTAAATGTTGTCTATTAAAGAGGGGAATCGGGGGGAGATTGGAGGGTGGTACAGGGGTAATACAATGCTCTGTGAGACTGACCCATGCTAGAAGCCTCTGGGTTCGCATCCAGATGCCCCTTTATATTCCTGTTGTGTATGTTCTAATGATATGGTGCTGGCAGGAACTGGGGAGGTGTCATAGTGTCAGGAAATCTCTGTGAAACAGACCTTCCCATGTGGGACAGCCTTGCAACACGCCCTATTTTACCACGGCACCACCGTTCAGTCCCTGGACTCTTTAAACCTTCCTCCTGGAATAGTTCCTTAGCATTGCCTTGACTTTTGTCACCTAGACACTCTGCAGTTATTTTGTGGAATGTTCCTCATTTGGAGCATGTTTCTTGTTTCCTCCACATTAGATTATGCACTTTTGGTATAAATATCACAGAAAGGATGCCAAGCTTTTGGTACTCTCTTATAAGATATTGTATGGTTCGCTACTTCACTTTGTTGCATGACTGAGGGGGTCACTTTGACCACACATTGTTAAGAGTGTATTTCTCCAATGTAAAGTTACTCATATTCTTTTCGTAATTTAATAACTATTTCGTATAGGTAATTTGAAACTATAATCCTGTCATTCCCTCTAAGCTTGTTAGTTGTGCTCTACTTGTATTTTAGTTGTAAAATATTAGATCATTGGAAAAGTCATGATGTAATTTTTTCTTTTCTTTTTTTTTAAGAGGTTTTTGCCTTAGGCACATGTGCTCACTGGAGACAAGAGACAGTGAGAGGGAAAGTGAGAAATCACCCCCTGGGGGCATGGCCACACTGCAATCCCCTCTCCTCCATTCTCCTCCTGGGATCTTGGGCACACATGCACACATGCCTGGTGTGATTTTTTAAGCAACTGGGCCTGGGACTTGAAACATGGTCAGCCACATGGGAGTCCATTGACGTAACTGCTATGCCATCTGCTGGTCCTGATGACATATTTTTTTTTTTATGTATAATGTGTCAGTGACCTTTCCGACATTGCAATATTTTTTTCTACTATTTGTTTGTTTGTTTATTTATTTATTTTAGAAAAAGACAGAGAAAGAGACAGAAAGCAGGAAATCAACCCCCAGAGTATGGCCACAATGCAATCCCTTCTCCTCCATTCTCCTTTCTGGATTTTGGGCATGGCGCACATATGCCCAGCGTGAATTTAAGCCACTGGTCTTGGGACTTGAACTGTAGTCAACTACGTAGGAGTCCAGTGATGTAACCATTACACCGTCTGCTGGTCCCTATTTATTTATTTTTACAATACAGATTAATAAATATTTATTTTATATGATGCGCTATAATTTCTTCTTATTATTTATTATATTGGTGTTCATATTTCTAGATTTGGAGCCCATCATGATGACTTCTGTGTATTTTTATGACACTCCCCTCTAGTCATTGAGCACTCATCTTGCACTCTCTCTGTTCTAGCCCTAGAATTAGCTATTTCTCCAAGCATCACTGCTTCCTTCTATGGAATATTGATATTTAAAAGACAATATCTGGAGGGTAGATGTGCTTTTTGCTGCTGGAGTGTCAGTGCACATAGGTTCTCCCAGTGGACCTACTGTTATACCTATTTGTGTTTTTGTATATGTTAATAGAGAAACTCTTAAATTTATACTGATATTTCCAATTCTAATACACTATTATGAAGTTGATTCTAATGTTCTTCCTTTCCATGTGGATAGTCTATGAATAGTAGAAAACTGGCTTTTACAATCCTCATTATACATATTAATCTGATCTGTCCTATATATGAAGTCTCAACTCCATACCTGGTTATTATTGCTGCCCACTAAATAAATACTTTTCTGAAACTTGGACATGTTCCATGCTCCATGCTGGCTATCACCACCTCTTCCTCAACATAATCAACCTCATAACCTCATTTGGCTTGAACACTATAAAACCATGCATTAGGCTGGGCCACAATATTCTCGTCCCTTCTTGATAATTCCTACCTCACTTGGAAAGAAGAAAAGAAACAGGTAAGGGAAGTGGGATTGCTTTTTTTTAATTACTATGATTTCATGAGCTTCTCTGATGGGCATAATTTTCAGTGTTTTAACCTATGAAGGCAGAAAATTTAGTAAGCACATAAAATCTTAACTCAGTTCAAATCATACGACGTCTTTTTTTAGTGAATTCAGTAAATGTGACCTAATACAGATACATTTATTTTTTTCTAGTTTTAGTGTCTGTTTTCAACTAGCTTTATACAATTTTTGCACCTTCATTATTGTGAGAGAATAAACATTTTGATTTTCACTCTGTCCTAGTCAGTCTGTTGTTTCTTCTATTTTTTGGATACTTTTGTATAGTTAGGCTGTTGGGAAGCCGTAGGAGTTTCCACTTGAACTAGGTAAGCTGAGAGGTGGTTCTGCTTCCCTCAATTTTAATAACTGGGGAAAAATTGATAGTGTTACCATACCTTCAAAAAACTCAAAGAGACTAGTGGCTCTATCCCTTGATAAGCCAAAAGACAGATCTGGGAGGGAGGATCTGTAGTATCTTATACATGAATGCTTATTCACTATGGTTTCTTTACTTCTCCCAAGCACAGGTAATCTTTTGCTTTTAGTTTTCAATTCTGGCATAAGTTAATTCCACACATAATACAAAAATGAGTCATATAAATGATTAAAGTTCAAATAATATTTTTATACATTTTTTACTGAATATATAATTTTGATTTATGTCATTGTATATAGAATATATATATATTACATGTCGTATATTAAATATACATAAATGCCCTTAGACTATTTGTTGGAAAATAAACATAACAGTATAAAAGCAAGGAAATTGTTTAATTCATAAGTGTTTTTTTTTTTTTTTTTGAGGTTTTCGCTATAGGGTGCATGTGCTCACCAGAAAGACAGAGAGACAGAAAGTGAGAAATCACCCCCCCCCAGGGGGATGGCCATGCTGCAATCCCGTCTCCTCCATTCTTCTCTTGGGATCTTGGGCACGCACACACACGCACGCACACGCACCTGGTGTGAGTTGAAGCCACCGGGTCCGGGACTCGAACAGTGGTCAACTAACATGGGAGTTCAGCGACATAGCCATTATGCTAACTGCTGGCCCCAATTCATTAGTTTAAAATACAGAGAGAGTTTAGGATAAAATAGAAGCCAGAGAAGCGTGGGCCTGAGGGCAGTGTCTAGGTGAGAAGTGTAAGAATTAAGAACAGTAATGAGGAGAAAGAAAAGTAGATACAGGTGTTCAGAGAAGGAGTGGGGAGAACAGATTCATGTAAAAGCAGGGATTTCCAAGGACAAGAGAATGTCAAGAAGATGCAGTGGTTGAACAATGTGGATTTCCATATGATACTACACATGAAATTAGATGACAGTAGGAGGCCTTCGAGAAGGCAGGTTCAGTTTAGTATGGATAGAAGCTGAGTTCTGGGAGGTGAGGTCAAAGTGGGAGAAATAAAAATTAAAGCCAGCCCAGGTCTTCCTTAAATCTCAGGTGTCAGTTCAAATTTAACTTCCAGGAAGCCTCAGCTGAACTCTCTGAAGGTGCTTCCTTAGAGTCCTGTATTCTTCTACCACATTACATATTATTGTTTTATTTATTATTTGATTTGATTTTTCTGAACTTACAGTGTAAAGACAGAATATTTACTCATAAAGCAGCTAGCATAGTGCTTGGCATATAACGGGTGCTCAGGAAATAAATTTTATTTTAAAAGCAATAGGAGAATAGATTGATAGAGCAACATGGTATTATTTTTAACTATGAAGGAATAATCCAGAAATTTTCCCTCTAAGCTGCTCAAGAAAAGAGAAAAGCATAATGAATTGAAGAAAAATGTCCAAATCAAGCAATACAATTAAACAATTGGACAATAACAAAGATAAAAACAGAAGCACTAATACCTGAATGCACGTATGGTAAACGTTAATATGGATCAGCATAAAGAAATGAAAAATAGAGAACTCTGCAGAATCAGACAGCGTTGGTTTAAATTCAGGCTGCATTTATGAGCTCTGTGATATCATTAAAGTTGTTGTGTAAGAATCAATTTCCTCATCTTTATAAGAAAGATTCAAATCTAATTATAAGGTTTTCATAGAATTAGATATGTGCAAAAGTTATACACATACTAAATACTTAACTATATTTTTAATTTATTATTTGGTTAAAAATTATTGAATAAACTGAAAAGAAATCTAAATAATACTAATAACCAGTTTACAAAATGTTTTGTTTTGGAATTCTTAATAAGAAAAGTAGTGAGCTTCTAGGAGGAAAGGATGCTGTCTTGTGCTCTAGTTTATCCCCCATATCTGACATATAGTAAATATTACATATGGAATCTTGTTATCTAATAGATGATAAATATATGAAGATATTAATTCTCCCTTTACTTCCTATCTCTGTATTACAGGTATTCTTTCAAGCATGGAAAAATTAAACCTCAGAGCAAAAGACTACAGTCTCTGATAAAAAGCTGAGATAAGTATGAAATTCAAAATGGGAAGGACAGAACGAAAATACTGAAATAAGCTGGTTAAGAGACAGTTGGTAAGTCTGCACCCTTTCAACATTGCTTGCCAACTTCAGTTCTGATCTTTTAGATAATCACAGTGCAATTACCCTATCTGCCATCTAACCCTCACAGTCTCTGTTGCTTATTATAGATAGCTCAGGTGTCATTTTACAAAAATTGAAAAACAAATTGATTTGGGTCTTTTGCACCATCATCACCAAAAGCAGTCCATGTAGCCTTTCATTAGTAGAACTGTGTGTATAATTTACACATAAAGCTATCATAGACTTATCATCCTAGACAGTACGCCTGAGGATAATGTGGAAATTACGCTCTTTTGTGTAACTGGGAAGGTCTCCAAGATGAGTGCCATTTCTTGGAACAGCAGAACTCTTTTCTCACATGAGCTACATGACAGAGGAGTGTTACACAGCTCACCCATGAGTGCTGGCAGCCAAGTGACACCCAGACAGAGTTCTGATTCTGTACTATGTAATTGGAAATCCCTGCAGTGCGGTACATTTTCAGTGTGCACAATGATCTAAATTAATGTCTCACTTCGACTCCAGAAGAACTAGGTTGCCAGTGATTTCAATTTTTTTTTCCTTTTAGGTGAGAGATGCAATTTATCTCAAAGAAAATTTTAATAGATGTTTCTGTGTGTCATATATTTTTATACAAGGAAGAGGTGTTTTGTATTGTCCATTTGCTTTTTTCTGTTTAATAATGTAAGATGTATGAACTTCTATATTTCGGACTATTTGTATGTGTGGTATGTGTATTTGCATTTATTCTGTTGCTCTGAAGTAGTAGTAAGGTGCTCTGGCTAATATATATATATATATATGTATATAAAATATATAATGACTTAAAGCATGGCTGCTTAGTGGTCAAAATATGAGAGGTAGTTTCCCTGAGGCAGCGGCTAGTCCCTTGGCAGATTCCAAAGATAATGCCTTTTGTTATTTTAGAATTGCTACTATTAACTTTATGTATGTGTCTTCTTTTATTTCAGCTTGAATTAAAAAGCATTACTACTCTTTGCTCTGATTTCTCATAAATAATTGTTGACCTATGGCGCTTTTATAATACAATTGTATTTCCATTGAAATAATCTACTCTGTCTCATTTCCAATGTAGTATGCTTAAAGTCATAGTAAACAACAGCTTTCCACCGTGAGGAAAATCATACTAGTAACAGAGAAATTGGCATTTTTTAAAGAATATTTTTGCTTTAGGCATGTGTGCTCACCAGAGAGGGAGAGAGACAGAGAGACAAAGACAGTGAGAGGGAAAGTGAGAAATCACTTTTTTTGGGGGGGATGGCCATGCCATAATCCCTTCTCCTCCATTTTCCTCCCTAGTTCTTGGGCACACATGCACATGTGCCCAGCATGAATTTTAAGCCACCAGGTCTGGGACTCGAACCATATTTGGCCATGTGGGAGTCCTGTAATGTACCCAATATGCCATCTGCTAGCCCCAGAAATTGATATTTTCACTGTTGTCTTATGAATTTAAATGTATATGAAATTCTTTTATTCATCTAAAGAATCATTGGATTCTTTAGAATATTTCAAAAAGAAAATGTCTTTATATGAAAAATATATCTGACCAATGAACAAGGAGAATGTATGTTTTATGAGAAATCAAGCTCTTCTTTCATATCCCTAATATAAGCCTACATATTCTCTTTCTTGAACCCTGGCAATAACATCCGAACTGGTTTCTCCATAATCACTCTGACCCCCCCTTAAACTACTCTTTGCACAGAGAATTCACATTGGATCATATGATCTCTGCTTCTCAAAACCAACCACATACCCATGCTTAAAATTCTTCAATGGTTTTCTTTTGTTTTTAAGGATAAAAAAACCCAAACATTATAACATGGCTTGCAGATTTGGCTTACTCTTCAAGACAACACTCCTTCACTCCGCGGGTCCCCTTCTTTGAGCTCCACTTTCACGCTGTCTCTGAAGTCCACACAAGTGTATGTCCTCTCCTGCCCCCACACAAATCCGTGTACTCAGAACAGAGCTGCTCACACAGTATCCTGTTAACCTGGCTCTTTTTTCTAGTATTGACTAAGTTATCACTTTCTCAGAAAAGCCTTCCCTGACCAATATAATGTGTTCTTTTCTCTTAAAATTAAACTTCAACAGCATTGGATTTGATTTATTTTGTGTAATAACATTGACTAATATTTATCTTCATGGGGTGGCCCTGTGTCCTAGTCATTATGGGAGCCAAATTGCACATGGACAACCATGGTTTTAATCCCGGTCCCAATAGCTTGAAAAGTACATTGGTTGCATGTGTGTGTGCATGCACAAAATCCTGACAGAATAGAGAAGTGGAGGAGGAGGGATGGCGTGTGACAACCCCCCATACACACTACGGGCATTTTCTCTCCCATCCACCCCTGTCTCTGTCACTCTTTGATGAGTAGATGTGCTCTCTGGCAATTAAAAAGAATTATCTTCCTTACTACACAAAGGCAGAGATTTTTAGTTAATTTTATATCTCACAAGGATGAGGTAGGGTTTCCATTACTTATATTATTTATTTGGATAAATGAAGTCACATGGCAAGAATTTAGGATGAACCTATAAAGCTCATTGTAATTGTTTAAGATTGGAAAATATAACTATTAAGCCATTAAAATATATTAGAGTTATTTTGGATGAGATGATTTTGGTAATCAAATTGAATTTCAAATAGGATATCACTTCAAATTAATTTAAAGAGAATCTAGAGGGTGAATGTTCTGACTCATGAAAGATGAATATGGCATGGACTCCAAACACTTTGGTCTTTACAAAATGGAGTTTGGAAATTGGTCAATATACTGAAGATGTGAGCAGATACATAGCCAGGAAATATTAGTAAGTTCTTACAATGTGTCAGGCACTGTGTGCTTGGTGCTAAACCTATGAAAATTCTTTTATATTCTCAGCAGTCTTCTGAAGTGCTGGTATTATTATGATTATTATCTACGCTTCTTAGGTGAAGAAACAGAAACAGGTTAATTTACCTCAGGTCACAGACTTGGTGGATCTGAGCAATTCATAAGGTCCTACAATCCAGCTCTGTATTGCTTTATAAAAAACAAACAAACAAACAAAAACAAACACCTCAATGTTTATCAGCAAGTTGGCATAGGACATTTTGTGTTTTATTTAATAAGGAGGAATTGAAGATAACACCTATCTTTAAGAATAAGTGAAGGGAACAGAAGATGATGCAAGGGTTACATCACTGGACTCTACATAGTCAACTACAGTTCAAGTCCTACACCTGGTGCCTTAAAACTCATGCTGGGTGAGGGTTGGCAGGTTGTGTTGTGGTTAAGGGTGCTGGACTCCCACATTGCTGATCATGGTTTGAGTCCTGGACCTGGCAGCTTGCTTCTCACTTTCCCTCTCTCTCTTTCTTGCTCTTGCTCTTGCTCTGTCCTTCTCTGGTTAAATTTAAATAATTAAATTAAATTAAATAATTATTTAAAAAGAAAAAAAAAAACTCATGTCGGGTGCATGTGTGTGAATACCCAAAATCCCAAGGAAGACTGAAGGAGAAGGGATTGCATTGTAACCATCTCCCCTGGGGGGTGATTTCTCACTTCCTGTCTCTCTGTCTCTCTGTCTCTCTGTCTCTCCAGGGAGTGCACATGGTCTATACAAAAATCTCTCTTAAAGAAAAGAAAAGAATAAATGAAGATAACATGTATGGTAGTATCTGATTGAGCCAATATACAGTGTACTCTGGATGGGAAAACTCATTTTGTATGCTGCAATGATATACAGTGAATACAGGCAAATAAATAAATTTAAAATATAAATAAATTAAAAAAGAAAAAAGAATAAATGAAGATTTCTCCCCCACTGTAAATAGTTATATTTCTAAAAGTACAATAAAATAAAAATTAAAGCAATAGTCTATCTTATTCTGTCTATTTACTAAAAATTGTTTTGAACTTGAATCTGTACCCTGGGATCATAATGCTGTCTTTGACATTAAAGTTTAGGTATTATTATTATTAGTTATTACAGAGGATTATGTGCTTTCACCAGAGAGACAGAGAGAGCAGGAAAGCAACCTCTAGTGAGGCATGGCTACTCTGCAGTTCTTTTTCCTCCATTTCTTCATCCCATCAGGGTTTTTGGGCATGCATGCACATGTACCTGGTACACTTTTCAAGCCTCTGGAACCAGTTCAGACATGAGCTATAGTTGAGTGTTGACAATGTGGGGTCTGACTGCCTTAACCACTGCTCTATGGGCTGACCCTGGGTCTTATTAATAATGATATAAATATCATACATTTTTATTATCATTTTATATTTCATTAGGTGCTTTTTCTTTCATGTTGAATTCAATACTCCTGAGTACCTTATAAGATAGAGATTATTGTCTCCATCTTAGCGATATAAAGGTAGAATTAGAACTTTAAAACATATGATAGATGGTTAAATCAGGGCTCGATCCTAGATAGTCTGACTTTAAGTCCAGTAGGTAGGTTTTGTTATCACAGAACCTCTCAATTACATAAAAATTATAGGACAGTCTTCTGACACACTGATCTCCATAGAGCTGAGCACTGCTCAATGTATGCTAAAATATTTTGTTGCAAAGTATCCTGTTTGGTTTCCACTCTACTGAAATATTTTAGAAAAATTCATTAAGCACACTTTACAGTTCATTAATAGGTTAAAATTTGTTAACATTTTATGGAAAAGAAAATTAAACAGGTTTGTTTTTTTTTAAATTAAAGATGTGCACCTGTCAAAATACACAAACACACATACACACACACATTTATTTTATATATACTGTATACATAAGCATTAGTAATTTTTGTACAAGGCAACAAAAGAAGTATAATAGCAACATTTTCCTCAGCTCTCATTAGTATCATGTTTTCTAGTAAAAAATGATCTCAAACTGAGTTGAACACTGCTATTTTCTTTCTGATAGCTCTTGGGAATAACAGTAAATATAAAACATCTACATTGATGGTGAAACAATTAAAATAGCATTTTATGACATATCACATTAAATCACAAATAGTAGAATGTTTAATGTGATAATTATTGTCTAATATTTTGCAAAAGTTTTCTTTTTAATCTTGCTCTATTTACACCAAACCATTACAACGTTCTTCAGTTTAACATTAGCACAGGAAATGAGCAACGATGTGGTAGCCTACTTGATCTCAAGACCTTTTCAGTTTTAACTTCGATGGTCTCAGTGGTAGTGTGTATTGAAATTCTCTCAGAATATTCCAGTGTATAGTGGTAATAATATTAGAAAAGACTTCTAGGCTAAGTTTTTTTTTTTTTTTTCTTATTTGAATAGCCTAAAGTATAGTATGATTTGCTTTATCCATCAGGTTTTGGCTGTTTTCCATAGCGTGATATATCCATGTACTTTCCTATAAACCCTATTATGACTAGGAAGATGAGAAATTTATGGTCAGGTGGAAATAGGATGAACACATGATTAAATTTTTTTTTTCATTCAAACATCCCTAGATATAAACTCATAACATCAGCTAAGAGTTAGTATCAGTAGTACAGTTGGTTATCTAAAATCAAAATGACAGGACACAGTGTTCTAACTTTGTGAATCGAAAGCTCAAATGTTGCAATCAATGTTTATGTTTCATTTCGCAAAATACAGTGGTTCCTTTTTTAACAGTTTTGACCTTATTAGAAACAACAACAACATAGCCTCACCAAAAAACCACATGTATTGTACTTTTCCCTAAGAGTACAAGAAAACTTTTTAAGTATTATGTCTCACTTTTGGTGTGGGCTTTGCACAATGGTGGAAAGCCTTTCCTATTTGGGAAGAAGACCCCAACACTGAAGAAGAGACTTGATACATATAGCAGAAGTGAACATGAGCTCAGAAGACCTCGGTTGGAGTCCTAGAACTGCCATTACCTTGCCTTGAAACAGACTCTTCACCTGCACAGTGAAAAGAAAGTACAGCTCATGATTGCTGCCCTACCTAGCTCCCAGAACTGTGGCGGGGCCACAAAATCCTATGTAGAGTCGCTCTGTAAAACTGCATCTCCATCATGTTTATCCTTTAAATAAATAAGGACTAGCAACGTACAATTCTTTTATCTTGGTTTCAGACAGCAGAGGGAAAGATATCTCAATCACATAACAAATGACTCAGGAAGTATAGATCTGAAGAACTACATAATTAAAAGTGAATCTGGTCAGATCAGCAAGGCCATCATATACTTTGTTAGCTGTCTTTATTTTGGTTCTTAGCCCTTTGTAGTGCTGTAAGTGACAGGGCTTTTGAGCATGGATTTCGTAACTTTGTGCCTAGGGGCTGAGGTTAAGCTTTATATAGGATGACAGTGCTTAGTCATTGACCATGGCTGGTTTCTTTACCATCTCTCTCTCTGGAACTGTCAGAAGTCATTAATATGCTGATCACTAGGCTTGCAATAGTCTGATTCTGCCTTGTTGCTCTCATTTTAATATAAAAATTATGTATTTTCCACCATCTTTTGAGTTAGATAACATAGAAGCCAATGTCATCAAAGGGTTGTGGTAGTGGTGGAATAAAATAGCAACAAGAAACATCCACGTTTGGTACCTTTTCCTCTTAAAGCTCACTGGCATCATGTCTTAGACTGTTCTTACTCTAGTCACCAGTCTTACTCCTCACGGGGATCAGGACTCCTTTCCTTCCTCCCTTCCTCTTCTTTCTTTCTCTCTCTCATTCTCTCATTTTCTTTCTTTCTTTCTTTTTTTTTATTTTATTTTTTTTGAGATTGATATTATTTTTTGACCGGGGGCTACATTCCAGCTATTCAAAAACCAGGAAGAATATAGATATCTGTGAAAAGTCTTCCTCTCCTTCCTTCCCCATGTTTAATTAGCATATATCCTTCCCCATTTTGACCACAAACAGGTAAACCCTGTTACAGGTCTCTTGTGTATTCTTATACAGATATTTTTTAAAATAGCTGTAACCCAATATAAATATATATTATTTTTCTTTCTTAAAAAAAATAAAAAACCCACAAGTGGTAAGTTGATTTGGCGCCTTGATTATTTTGACTTATAATGTAACTTAAGCTTTCTTTTTAGGCAGTATTTACCCAAGTGATGGTCTGAGACTATCCCTTTGAAGGTTTGATCCTGAGTTTATGTCTGTAATTTTCTATAATCTTCATAATCTGGGGAAAAATAAGATAACTGGTTCTTCAAGAAGCGGAGCAAAAAAAACCTGAAAAGAGACAGATTTAGTATTAGCTTTTGAGGATAGGTCCTCCCAGTTCAAGAGGCACTCATGCATTCTGTCAAATGCCTTTTCTGTTTTCTAAAGAAAACCATGTGGAGATTATATTAATATGTCTTCCAACAAATCACAATGCTGGTGTAATGATTTGATATTCAGGGAAATCACAAATATCTAATTAAATTTGTCCCTAAGAATCAAAGTCCTTGACAAAAGGAATTTTTGTCCATCACGGAGCTTAGATACCTAGATGTTGCCTACTTGCCTCTGTTGTCTTTATATGTGTTTTCTGGAGAAAAATAATCAGGCTTATTGGGATTTGTCCTAATATACCCAGTAGAGTTTAGCATACCTTCTCTTTTTACAGAAAATACAAATTTAATACAAATTTAAACCCAGTTTATAAAATACAGAATTTATAGTCTTAACATTAAAATATATATAGAATTATTGAATATTTATTCATTAAAAAAGCACATATCAGTCATGAATACTGTTTCAGATGGTTTTCAGTTATGCAAATTATTTCTCTCTTGACTGTAATCACATGAGGGACTGGATTCTAGAGTATCATACACTTAATGTGGGTTTCGAAAAATGCTTTAATCATATAATTGCTAGCTTATCAAGTAGAAAATATAGGTCTGAGAACACTATCATTATGTCATTATTTTCTACAAAAGACTGTGAAACATATTGAAGAGGCTATTATGAGACAAATAACAGTTTTCGCTGGTGCCTAAATTTGTAAGGATTAAAAAAAAAAAAAAAGGAATAGTAAAGAAAAAAGAAAATTCCTAAAGGTGAAGAGTTTAAAACATAGCCGGGCAATTCATCTAGTCTCTGTGAAAAATCTGTCAAGACAAAGAAAGTGAGCAGGTATGACTAGAAGAATGAAGTTAGATTATCTAGCTCAATGAGTGACACTAATATTTAATAATTGATTTACTAAGTTCCATGAGGAAGCTTAAAGGATTTAAGCTTTTCTATTTACATCAGAATCTAGTTACATCGTTCTTATTATAATCATTATTGAGTGTACCATGTTCAAATGTGATTGAAATATATAATCACATATTCACTTGGTCTAGAGCCAGTAAGAAGAGGGGAACATGACCTATAATGGCTAAGTGGTTAAACTAAATCTAGTTTCACAGAACACTCAGATTTAAAAAAAAAAAAACTGATACAGTGAATTGACGGGTGAGAAATCAGTTTCTTTTCTTTTAAGAGAGATTTTTGCTATAGGGTATATGTGCTTGCAGGAGAGACAGAGAAAGACAGAGAGATAGTGAGAAATCACCCTCCCACCCTGCCAAGGGAGTGGCCAGGCCACAATCCCTTTTCCTTCATTATCCTTTCAGGATTCCGGGCATGCATGCATATGCACCGCGTGAGTTTCCAGCCACCGGATCTGGGACTCAAACTGGAATCGACTTCGTGGGAGTCCAGTGATATAATCATTACACTATTTGCTGGTCCCCAAATCTGTTTATTTTCAACAAAGTCTAGTAAAGTCCAAGGTAAAACTGCTCCATCTGTGGGTTTAGTTTGAGAAGACGGATTCCTAAGAAGTCTTTCTCTCAATTTCTCTCTCTCACGCACACACACACACACACACACACACGCACACACAGATATGCCCTGCCCCCTTTCCCCACTTTTAAAATGATTACCACTACAGCTCCAAGAAGGAGAAAGAAAACCTAAAGATATTAAAGTTATGGATGAGTTAGTTTCATTGTAGGTGTTTCTACATCATGATTTCAAGATCAGGTAATTGTTTTTTCCTGTTATTTATTCTCTTAATATTTGTCCAGCTATTGGACACAGTTCACGATCCATATGATTTATACTTTTATGTAATAAAAACATTTATCTTCAATAAAGTAATGGTCTTTAAAAAATTGTTAAAACACTAGTACATTTTACTATTTACTTGCTGATTTCCTTTCACCTGTCAAAATAAATGAAAAATAATCGTCTAAGAAAATGATGAGTTTTACAATATTTTAGTCTGCTGAACTAATAAAAAATGGATTTGCTTCTGTTCATTCAGATCTCTCAAGAAAACCTGAAACTGGGAAGAGGCGGTGATAATGAGTATGGCTTATGCAGAAGTAGTAGGGGCAGCGGGTTAGAGTCTAGATTAAATAAGTCAGAATGCCTAGATTCTGCTCTGCTTCTTACCTCTCTGTGACTTCGACCAAATTATGAATCTTCTCTGCGTTTCAGTTGCCCACTCAAAAAATGGGATAATCGGACTAACAGATGACGTCACTGGACTCCCACATGGCTGACGGTGGTTTGAGTCACGGACCTGGTGGCTTGAAAAACACGCTGGATATGTGCGTGCATGTGCCCAAGATCCCAAGAGGAGAATGGAGGAGAAGGGATTGTGGCGAGGCCATCACCCCGGGGAGCGGGGCGGGTGTGTGTGTGCGGTGTGGCGATTTCTCACTTTCCTTCATAACTGTGTCTGTCTCTTTCTCTCTGACCAGTGCACGTACCTTAAGGCAAAAAATAAATAAATAGTAAATAAATGGGTGATAATATTAAATACTCATAAACAATTAAAGGCCATTGCATGTACCTAGTGCTTAGAACTCAGTAGGGGACCTAATATACACTCATTAAATTCTTCCTTTGTTCTTCCCTGTTGTCTTTCTTCTTCTTGAGTCTATAGCTCTCTCTTCCCCCCATATCCTCTTCACTTTTCTGTGATTCCCTTTTTAATCAAAATAGTCGGTGCTTCAAATATATCCAGATTTTGTCAGGAACAGCAAGTAACGTGGAGGTTAAGGTGCTGACTCCCACATGGCCGACTGTGCAGTCGAAGTTCTGGAGCAGCTTGAAAAACATGCCAAGTGTGTGTCTGTGTGTGCCCAAAATCCTTATAGGAGAACAGAGGAAAAGTGATTGAGGGGTGGCCACCCCTCCTGGGGTGCGATTTCTCACTTTCTTCCTCCTCTCTCTGTATCTTTTCTGTGAGCATGCATGCCCTATAGCCAAAGATTAAAATACGCACACACACACACACACACACACACACACACACATAGCCAGACTTTTTTTTTAAATGTCTCTAACAACTTAATAGCTGAACAGTGTTGAAAAGTTTCTTACTTTATCAGCTTAATTTTCTTCAGTTTGTAGGAATCTTTTTTGTATGTGTGAAAATACTCTAAAATCTACACAGTGCAGTATATTATTAGACTTCAGGTTTCAGTGTGAACTCTAAAGAGGCAAAGATCATGTCCTTATATATATTTTTTAAATAGAAGCTACTTTTTTCTATTTGAGAAGGAAAATAATCTTTATTTCTTCTACTCGAAGATAAATATAATTAATTATATTTTTTCTACTCATTTTTCTATGCATTCTATTACATAAGAGGTCTTCAAATGCATATTATGAGAAAAACTATGCATGGATTTAAAAATATTTTTGCAACAAAATAAATTTGTACTTTAGTTTTATTTTTCTATGAACTTTCTAAAGTTCCCTCTTATTATTTGAGTAGTTTAATAGCAATGTAATTTGGTATTGATCATGTCTTATTTCAATATTTGGATATTGCTAGTAAAACTGCTAATATTTACAAATATTAATATGTAATTTAAACCACCATTCTTTCAATCATTACTGTCAATATTTTCCTCTTCATATGTTAGAGCCACATAGTATCTATACTCATACACATTTCTGATCCTAAATAATGTCATAAAAGAGAGCAATGTTTAGCTTTAATCCTATTACAAATCAGGTGCCATTTACCTGACTGCTACTGTTTAAAAGTGATCAGAATTCTTTCCCCTCAGGTATATTATTTTCCCTATACCTTATTTGTGAGAGGGGGAAAAAAATGCCACAATCCCTTCTCCATTTTCCCCATGATCTTGGGCACGCATGCACGCATGCCTGTGTGATTTTCAAGTCACCAGGTCCAGGACTCGAACTGTGGTTGGTCATGTGGGAGTCCAGTGATATAACTGCTATACTAGCCGCTAGCCCCAATACTTATTTAAAACACACACACACGCACACACACACACACACACACACACACACACACACACACAAAGAGTTCATAAGAGTTACTCAGATAAACAAGATTTGTGAGAATTGAGCAAGCTGCATCCATGAAAATTCACATTAGCAAAGTTTAATCATATATTTAATTTGGATAGCTTAGCTGAACTTCTTTTCAATATATTTTTTCATTCAGGACCAGCAGTTAGCATAATGGCTATGTCGCTGGACTCTCACGTAGTCGACCGCAGTTCGAGTCCCGGACCCGGTGGCTTAAACTCATGCTGGGAGTGTGTGCCCAAGATCCCGAGAGGAGAATGGAGGAGAAGGGATTGTGGTGTGACCATCCCCCCTGGGGGGTGATTTCTCGCTTTCTGTCTCTATGTCTCTCTCTGCTTGTCTTGCGAGCGTATGTGCCCTACAGCAAAAACTTCTCAAAAAAATATATCTTTTTTCATTCAAGAAATATGTATTAAGTATCAATATGCTAGAATATCCACAAAGGCATTGGGATTTAAAAATAAAAGAATTCATGAAGTATTTGCATCCTGATCACAATGTGGTGAAGACAAACACATATACAGATAATTAAAATGCAGTGATGGTATTGGGCACAGGTATTATAACATTCAGGAGGGAAAAAATGTAGTACTACCTGGGACAGGGTATGTCAGCACAGTTTTAGTGAAGAATTCCTGGGGTGTAGACACTGAATGGTTGACTGTGAGAAATTAGATCTAGCAGAGGATGGAAAAATACATATAACCAGGTCTTGGAAGAACATACTGGTGGGCTAGTTCTGCTTTGTTGGTGCAAAGACTGTGAGGTGAGAAGTGTAGATAAGCCTAGACAGATAGGCAGTGGCTAGTCACAGAGGAGGATGACAGCCACATGAAGAAGCTGGCACTTTATTCTCAAGAGGAAGAGGGACACAATTGAGAATTTTTAAACCCTCAACTTCCATTTAATAGGTTTTCCTATTATCTCTGTGGACTGTGGAGTTGAGGGAATCTAAAGTTGACAAAAGAGTTACGTTCTACAATGTTCAGAATTTGATCTCAGAAGATCTTCTGAAAATTAATGGAAAAATCTAAGAATAGCTCTGTGATTTTTATGTGATAATTCTGTTTTGTACAGACAGAGAATTCTATGTGGGGGCTGGGGGGTGGGGGAGGGTGAAGGAATGAGATAGACATGTTGCTGGGAAAGAAAAACAATGAGACTTCGAGCTTCCACTTGCAATTGGGAAAAATGGAAGCTACACTTTTTGGAGACCACAAGGTGATAACTACTTAATAATTGTTCCTGGAGAATGGCTTTCTCTGAAGTACAATTTAAACTTGAGAAGCTTATTTAGTCAATTCATTAATACATTTTTTACTTTTGATCAGAAGTCATTCATATTGCCAATGTCCATGATAAAGAACTAGAAAGGACAAATGTACAGAGTGGTGACATTACTATAGAAGAGTTTAAGATTATAAAACAATTTCTTGCATTGATTATAAAGAATTATTAGCTATCCTTCAGCCAAAAATCTAAGTAATTGCATAGGAGCAAGTATGAAGTTTGTTAATAATGAGAACTATAAGGCAAATCTAATGTTGAAAAAAGAAGATCTTCAAAAATTCTAAGTATTTGCTCATCATTTTCCCTTCT